TTTTTTTTTTGGGTGAACTCTCCTCGACCAATTTACACGCTCGACTTAATGTAGTCGTCTGCGGATTTGTGGCGAAAAAATCGGTAGAATGGGAAGATAGAATAGGAAAAAATTGAAACCGACGAGGAGTTTTGAACGAGGGGGATGATAATGTGAATTGGATGAGGAGGGTATATTTGTCTTTTAAATCCACATCAGATAAATTTATCATGTGTAGTAAATACATGATTGAAATTGCATCTAAATCTATAATGTTTAGTAATAATGGGTTTGGTGCTGACGTGGAATTGGGATGGGATTAATGTGGCCAATTCCATCCTGCGAAGTAAACGACCCCCAAATGTATTATTTATTTGGTCAAAAGTTTCTGTAATAAATGTTTAAACCATAGTTTTTTTTACGCGGACCGACCCGGGACCCGGCCGACCCTGAGCCAAACCCGGTCCGGGTGGGCTATTTGGACCGGACAACAAAGGACCCGGTCAAAAACCCGATCAACTCGGCATTGACCCGACCAACTCGGTGCATTGACTCCACTAGGTCAACCCAGTTGACCCGACCATATATATTTTTACATTTTATTTATTTATTTATTTTTAAAATAAAACAATGTATATATGTTTATGCGATAAATATCATCATGAAATAATTTTATTAACACTTTAATGTACAAATTTTAGTCATAAAAGGGTTAATTGCCAAAAAAAATCTCAACAATTTATTTAATTGCATATAAAACTCAACTTTTTTTATTTTACAACAAAATACAAATTGTTATTAAGTGTTGTAATTTTGTCTTAAAATTGAATTCCGGCCAAGACCCGCTTACATGGCCGATCGGAAAATTGACGTGGCGAAATATTTAATAGTCTTTGTCACGTCATGAGACACAAGTACCTCCACATTACACACCCCCATGTCACACATCAAATTTAAGGATCTATTTTTTTTTTCTTTTATAGTAGTCAGCCACGGTATTCGGAGCTATGTCCCAACTAATTCGTTGGTCGACCCGGGTTGCACACCTGGTAGTGGTGGTTGAGTCTCCCAATAAGGATTTTCTGCATCCAGAACCCGAGACCTTGTTTAAGCGGCATCAAGCAGCCCACTTGAGCCAACCCTTGTTTGTACATATTATTCTTTAATTCTTCCTTCTTCTCCATTT